GTCTGTTGCAGGTGGATGCCAGTAGTGTGCTGAAGAAGCGAATGAACTCTGCCCCACTTTTTGAGCGCCCTGCCAAAACGTTCCCCAACCCACCTGTTAATGCCCAGGCTTTCCTGCAGCAAGGCTCAGCAGTACCAGCCAACAACGTTCTGACTGGCACCAGCATCATTGACAAATACTCACGCATCCTCTTTCCCCTTTCATTTGGCGCCTTTAACCTGGTCTACTGGATTGTCTATCTCACCAAGGACACCATGGAGATGTCAAGGTGAACAGATGGCATGGCTATCACAGCACATTGTGGAGGTTATTGCACTCAAAAATAAGTGAGGGTGAGAGTGTTTTGGTGTTGTTCCCTCTTTCTTTCTGTCTTGTTTTAGAGGTACCTGAACAATTGCCAGTGATTGATTATTGACATTTTTACAGTTACTAATGTGSATCTGTAAAATCCATTTACAAATGCAATTAAAGCTATTTCCGATTTTCAAGGTTGGCATTCAACTCTAGTAATGTGGACCTTTACAACTGCTTTTATTTTGACCTTTATATACAATCATACCCACACATTTGTTTTATGGGTATTTTATGTTGTAATGATAGCAATGAATGATAGAAAAATCCTCAAACTCTCCTTAATTTGCATTGTTGCCAGATGTCAGAATGACGGCAGAGCACAACTGGAACATATGAATACTRGTTAGACTAAGTGTATTTAAATGAACCTGGAAGTAGGCAATTCATCACAAAACATTCCCACTGGGCATGTGCAATATTAACTGCAAAAAGGTTGGTTTGAAAGAGATATGAAGCATATGTTGCATTTTCAAAATTGCCCAAGTTTTCATTTTGTTTTATTTCTTTTCATTTTTCCCCATGCTGCTGTTTAAAATGCTAATGAACAAAAACAGAGCRCAACTAACACAAATTTAAAACTGTATCTGCTGCAAGATGAAATAGAAACTTGACTCAGAGTTTTTATTAAAAAAATAGTTTGTGTAGTTTTTTTCACACCAGCCATATAACATCTCTACAGTTGTATACTTTACCAGAAAGCGGAGAAATACTCTAAGTAAAGAATAACTGTATGAATTGCATGTGTGTGTGTGTGTGTGTTGGACTTGGCCCAACCAATGAACAGATGTGTATTCCTGGTTGTGCATCACCACTTGTGACTTTAGGGCATTTCAACCGTGTGGATTTAGCTCCTTTCATTTCCTGCTTTGCTCCTCCTTTAAAAAAGGGAAAATCCCTGCAGGCAAGAGCTGAGACAAGTCAGAAGACATGACAGTGTTGACATGCATCAGGATGGCTCTGTGTTACTAAACCTCTTAGTGACACTCACTTAACTGTTTCTTTTAATTGATAGGGACTGTAAGCTTGAGAGGAGATCTGACAGACTGCTTGTGCGAGACCGGTAGTGACAGCGTTATATATGAGAGCAAATTCAATTTATTAACAAAAAAATAAAAATAAAACATCATCTGGTTAAAAAGCAAGTGCAGCTTCAATGTGTTGTAGGGAGGAATTGAAGAAGAAAAAAATATAAGAAAAACCTAAAAAAAAGCACACACACACACACACACACACACACACACACACACACACACACACACACACACACACACACACACACACACACACACACACACACACACACCTAGTAAAACATGACACGAAAATAAAATTTCCAAATTTAAATGGGAAATATGTAGCATAATAGTTCCAGGCTGCAGTAGCTTCCAAACCAAGCAGAACAATATAACAATTCTAAATGTAATTAACAGAAATACTGTATAATATCACTGAACGTAAATTAAATCTTTCCATTTTAATTACTGAGATGAAATGACTGACTAAATACATAAAGAAATAATAAATGATCAAATGTATATAAAAACAGAAGACAAAAATGTTTAAGCTTAGCAGAGATAATAAATTAGTGTGGCATTCTTGAAATGAGTTGGAGCTGCAGACTGAAAACAGCTGAGCTGATGACTGCACACTCAGGGATGGCAGATGACAACTGGTGAATCTTRATGGTGGACAGCAGGGACCAAAACCTTCATGCCAATAATCCAGTAAGGACTCTAGGTTTGCAGTTTTATGCCTTTCCCAAAACTTGTCAGGTATTAAGCATTTGGTTGTTAACAAGAGGTRCTGTCCTTCTGCCTTTATTCGAGCCGCTCTGTCTGCCTGTACGGTCTGAAAGCTGATGTAAGAGGTGGAGTGTGGAGTTTGTTCCTGCAGCCATGTGTCAGGGAAAAAAAACACAATTTTTCATTCCTGATGTCCGCAGTGCTCCAAGCTAATCTGTGTTATGTACCAGTGAAAGGACATTCTTCATACTAGTCAGAAAGAAACAAAAACAAAAACAAACAAAAAAATAAACAAATAACAAATAAAAATAATACAAAATATAAAAAAAAAACTTTCTTTTCTCTGCCCTTTGTTTTGTTTTGTTTCTATCCTGCATCTTTGACAATTCTTTGTCAACTTGGACATTTACTTCTTTTGTTTTATCTTCTCTCTTGTGCAAACAACTCATCTGTTGTTTTGATTACACATCATTACTGCAACATTAAAATATAATTGAAACCATCTATCTCTAGTTATGTATTCCTATTCTTACATCCATTTGTAGGAAAACAATTATTAAGTTACTTTTAGGAACAACCAGACCACTTGCCTCTCACAGTAACTATGTTTACATGTGCACAATTATTTGATCAGATTGAAATGCATTCTAATTAAATAATCTGAATATGTAGTTAATATGGGCACAGAGTTAATTAATCTAACAATGACAAGTATTTACATACACCAGAATAGAATAGAATAGAATAGAATAGAATAGAATAGAATAGAATAGAATAGAATAGAATAGAATAGAATAGAAACCTTGATTAGAGTCAAATATTCTGTTTTCTGAGTGTCTAGAATAGACCTGCACCAGGTTTTAATAATGGTGGAGAGGTTGCTCTGTGTTTCTACAGTTTTGATCATTAAGGCGTTCAGTAATTTTGAGCTCTTTTAAAGTTTCTAATAGGAAAGTTGCATTACTAACTGACCAGTTTCAACATATTAGCATCTAGCCAGGTGGAAAAACATCAGGTTGACATGGGGCACACGTGCAGTCGGGTCAGTTTTCCACAACCAGAATAACATGATCAGATTAAATGTTTACATGCATGGAATCCAGATTATCAATGGGCATAAAACACCCCTCTCATTCAGATTACAAATTCATTCTGATTAAGCTGATTCAGATCAGAATATTCCAATTGGGGCCTTTACATGATACATTTTTTTTCTGATTGGCCATTTATTGCAATGACTAATGTCCATGTAAAAACAGTAAGTGCCTGCTGGACATACAGTAAATACCACCAATGCTTGTGACATGCAAAGGAGCAGTTCTAGTGTGGTTTATGACCTGTTAGGGTTCAGAATGTTTTATAAGTGTTGGACCGATGCAAATATGGGTCCACGGTCACACTCTGTTTCTCATGGTGAGAACAAAATCGGGTCACTTTGGTGACAAAACAATCTAAAAACCACTTGTCTTTAAAGTTCCATGGTTTTGATTAGCTAATATCCAACAGATTTTAGTCATGACCCACGTCTTTGATGACCTCATTTCAGCTATATTGAGGCATTATAGAAATCCTACATGACAGATGTTAGAAAGCCCCAGTCCTCATTCTAGCAGCATAACGCATGCACCTGCTTTGAATATTGATTCTTAGTTAAATGATAATAAAAAATAAAGAAAAAAAGAAATAAAAGAAGATGCAAAAAAGGCCAGATTCTGTCAACCAGATAGATTTCTCTAAAGCTTGGGCAACTTTTAATTGTAATCGCACCTAGACAACTACTGGGGACATTTCAGATTTAAAGGAAATTCTACTTTTTTTGCAAGTTTGCTTTATGTATTCAAAGCCTTTTTATACTGAACTTGTTAGCAAACTATAAATCGATTTTAGGAAATAAGAGATATAACACAAACAACGTTAACCCTAGTCAACAATGTTCTTGTCATATACATGATAATGTAGCTACAGTGAATTTAAAAGTAAAAAAAAAACAACTGTTAATATAGAAGCTGCTATATTCCAACCTGATTTTAGAGCTTATCATGCACATACAGTATATAAAAATTGTAAAGTAAATTTTGGTTCCTGTTAGGAAGTGTGAAAGGAAGCATGATAAACAACACATTGGATGAAAACCAAGCCATTCCTGCAATGAGTTCTGGATCACAGTTTTTACACAATCCACAGCACGATAGGTTACACTTCCACAGTTAACGCTACAGTTATTTGCTATTTCTATGTAACACCGCCCACAGTAGTGACCTCTTGATTCTAAGTTGGAGCCAGCTTAATCCAAATATTGCATCCATTAAGTGAAAGCTGGTGGTTCTTTTCATTCCAAAGAGATAATTATACAGCTCCACTATCCCTAAATAAAAGCAAATAGCACTGAATGAAACAGATTCCACTTCTGCTTTCTATTTTTACTTCACAATAGTGTACCAGATGAACTGAACCAAAATAATAGGATTTCTGTATGAATGTATGTGCAGGTGGGTTTCTGTGTGTACTTCTGGGAGAATATTCAGTTATATGAGTGTATAAATGTGCTATGGCAGCAATGCCTAGCAACTTCAGGCCATTCTAATAAATAGCACCATTCAGGGCAAGACATGAAGGAAACAAATTGGCTGAAAACACTTCCTTCCATGAGGGGCCGCAGCTGGTTGGCGGACTGTTTGCTCGCTGGCTGGCGGGCTGACTGGAGTATGTGTGGTAACAGCCAACGATGAGCCTTACTCCTCTTTATTGGACATATGAGTGCTAGGGTGAAAAAAAACCTACTTCTCCATTGTTGCTCATAAATCAAAATCACTAAATATTGTTTTCCTTTTTTGACTGTGGGGCCATTGCTATAACTTTGGTGTAATCATCATTCAATTACAGGCCCCTCAGACAGAGGTCAAAGAAGACCAATAGATAAAACAATCCTCTATCTATCATGTTTTTTTCTTCTGGGCCATGTGGGAATTGCTACAACTACTGTTATCTAGTTTGTCAATGCTTATGTGAATGTATTCCTTACATATCTCTCAGTGCTTACTTAGTCATCTACAGTATGTGTCCTGTCTGATGCCCCATGCACCAAATGACTCATTTAAACATGCTTTGTGTTCCTCGTAGACACTTTCTGGCTGTCTCTGTGCCACTCCACAACCCCCAACCCCTTTTTCTGAACCATGACTATACGCTAGGAGTGGCTGCATTCATCTAAGTCTCAATAGTATTGATACGAAGACGGGCATCGGTATCGCACTGACAATGTTAATTTTATTATTATTTTGTGGGGATTATGTATTTTCCAGGCACATAATGAAAATCAAGTAACTATGTTACCTTTAGTTGTTGTGAAAATGCTGTTTATATCAAAAATAAATTTCACTTTGCATCATAGCCTAGCATCTCAAAATTGGCCTCTGTCTCTTTAGGATCCTATTACCGTTTCTACCATTTCTGACGCATCCACTTCAGCACGTCTTCACAATAACGCTTCAAGGGAGGAGTGCTCTGTGGGGTGGGACCTGGCTGCAGACTGAGCTCCAAACATTGTCTACATAGGCAGAGCTTTGTACCAGCAAGAGTTTAGGAAGCTCTGGATTACACTGGTACACTCTGGCTTAGTATTTGATGAGGGAATGACATGATATAAAGCAGAAAAAAGTTGATTTTTCATAATACTCCCCCTTTATTAGAAAACATTTTTATCTGCTCAAAATCTTTGACATTAGTTACTTAATTATGATAAAACAGGGGAAAGTCACAAAATTGTTCAATGAACGTGATATCTTAATTAGAACATGTCAATATTGGTATCTTTATCAGTATCTGTGATACTGTCCTTGTGTTTACTTGGTATCGGATTGATAGCAACATTTTTAGTATTTCCCACCCCTACCACACTGACTCATTTTGATTGGTCTAGACCAGGGGTGTCAAACTCTTGTCCTCGAGGGCCGCTATCCTGCATGTTTTAGAGGTTTTCTTGCTCCAACACACCAGATTTTGATCGCTGGGTAATTAACAGGCTTCTGCCCAATTTGAASAGTTAATTCAATCACTGAATCAGGTGTGTTGGAGCTGGAAAACCTCTAAAACATGCAGGATAGCGGCCCTCGAGGACTGGAGTTTGACACCCCTGGTCTAGACCAATGCTCCCATCCCTGGTCCTCAAGGACCCCATCCAGCATGTTTTACTTGTTTCCCTGCTATTCAGCAGGTCTTGAGAAGATTGTTAATCACTCATTCATTCAAATCAGGTGTGTCAAATCAGGGAAACATCTAAACATGCAGGAAAGGAGTCCTTGTGGACCAGGGTTGAGAATTACTGCTTCAATACATGTTATCTGATTTATTATTTACAAATAAATGGCAAAGAATCAATGGCTTCCAGAGAATTACAAAAAAAAA